GAATCTTTAATTTGTTTATAGATATATCAGATTTAAAAGCAGCTTGTGATGTAAGGATTAGGGTGGGAAAGCTGCTTCAGAAATCCTATCCATATTGTTTACTAATAAGACCACTTATTTATAGCTAAAAATCATATTTCAAAATCATATTTTAAAAAAATAGCATTTTTAACCAAGCTTCTAGATTTCCTTTTTAAACATATTCTAACTTTAGTTATTGCTGTTACTTTTGAAAGTCTGTTGCTTCACCAAAAATGATATCATTGGCACTGAAAAAAATAACAATTCCTTTATTCCATTACAATACTGAGATACTGAGGTGATTTACTTCAAAAGAAAGAAAGAAAGGAGAGCAAGAGTAAAGAAACATAAAAAATAACATACTACTTAAAATATATATCCCTCCTAAGCTAATATATATTTATTTCCTAAATTTCTTATTCTTTTTAACCATAATTAAAAATATGTTTAATCTTTAGTCATTCCATTTAATACATTTAGTCATCTAGTCCTTTAACTCTTATTCAAAACATTTTTATCCATTATAATTTTCTTAAATTCAATCACATTTAAGTATCTAAAACATTTCCTTTATCTAAGTCATTTCAACTTTTTTATATTACTCATATCAAGAAAGGGAACAAAAAAGGGAAAAAAGCATACTATATTATTTAGGGAATTCATCTCTCTTAGAATGACATATATATTTCAAAACTTTTCTATTTCTTTAACCATATTCAAACAAATGTTTCTTTTTTAAATATTCTCTCTGGTAAGTCTCATCATCTATTTTCTTGGTTTCCACTTTAGTCTTTTTCCTTTGCCCAGTATCTTTCTTAATCGATGTATTTTGTTGACTCAAAAGGTTTTTCTGTATGTTCGTAAATGTTACTGTAGATATAAAAAGTAAATCAGGTGAAGTGTCTTTGTATGGGACTTCTGCCTTTCCACGTTTGTTGAAAATCTTTTTCTTTTTCTTTCTCTCCATTTCTCTTATCATTTTCTTTCTCTCCTATGGTTCCTGACATCTCTACAGTCCATTTTATCCAATCTGTTTTCTTGTCCTCAGATTTATTTTGTAGTCTTAAGGGATAAGTTGTTTTTTCTAATTCTTGTGAATTTTTCCCCACTAGGATTAAATCATGTTTCCTTGTTTTGTTAAATTCCATTTTTAAGTCTCTATTCTCAATTCTATATCCATTTATCTGTTTTATCTGCTCCTTCTCGTTGTTTTCTGGAAATTTTTTTGTTGTAGAGTTAACTTAGAAATAGATTGATTTATATTTTCAAAGTTATTTTGGATTTCTTTGTGGTTTAAAGTCATTGTTGAATTAATTGCAGTATACTATATATCGTCTCTTGTGAAATATTTATGATTTCTTGATATGTTCTTTCTACATGTCTCTGATCCATGATGGCCAAGAATTTGAGTTTTTCTCTTCCTTTCTTTTCTCTGCAAATAGCGTTAGAGTCCCAATTAAATAGATATTTGTAATCCAAATAGTTCAAAAAATATTTTTTTTCTGAAATTTATAATTCTCTCTTTGTCTACAGCCCAGATTATTGTCTTTTTTTATCACAGCTGTTCTTTGTTGTTAAAACTTTGAAGGTCACAAACACAGATTAGCTTTTCCCAGGTTTTGCCAAGTCTTATATTAAAGTCATAGCTGTCATAGTCTTCATCCATCACTAGGTATCAGCAACTATTTGTTTTTCACTTCCATATATTTTGATCATCCATAAAAAGATTAATTCGCCGCTTCCATTAGTATAAGGGTGGGGTGGAAATTCCCCTCCTTCCCTTTCGGAGGTATTTTGCTTCTTGGGGATCTTTTCCAGGAAATCAAATGTAGAATAGAAAAGAGAAGATCGAATTCCTCACCGTTTCAAACACCCTGATCACAGTTGTGCTGGTTAGTGCTTTTGGACTTTGGTTGCTAGTAGCTTGGGCTGGTCGATGCAATATGGCCAGCCTTTCTCCTGTCGGGTTAGAAGGCTTTCCCCAAGTTGAACGGAATGGCCGCCGCCGTTCCAAAATTGCTGGAGCACCCTTCTTTCTTTGTCGCCTCTCTGGGGCAACTCAGACCCAGGCAAGGCGAAATTAGCCACCAGGGTGTGGAGGATCCGCAAGCCCACGACCAGTCGCTACCGCGCAAAACCAGATTTTAAATAGGGTTCTTTCAACATTAATATTTTAGAGAAAGCTGATGCATAGATGAATTCAGGTTATTATGCAGGGCATGTGTCACAAAGAAAAGGTTGAAAAATTATCCAGTTGCTTCCTCCCTTTGCAAGTAATTGACCCTCAATAAATGAGCATGACCTACTTTATAGTGTATAATAGAAAGCCAAAAAGACTAGGAAGCTTTATTGTGTCTAATTAATTACCATGTGATTTATTTAGGAATGAAGTTTTCAAGTGAGGAAGCAGAAAAACTGAAATTTATTTATAGGGAAGCTTCCCAAGTATTCTTAATAAATGTCTTGTTTGGTTTATCAGAAACTGTATTGAAAAAACATAATTTTTAAAGAATATAGCCTAACAGTTCTTAATTCAAAAAGTACTCAAAGATTATATTTATCTTCCAAACCTTTTAATTAGATTTTTTTTTTAAAATTCCTCTGTGGGAATTTAAACTTCTTTCCACAACCTTGATATTTTGGTTGATCCTACTAAAGATGGCAAAAATCTAGCTTCATTCAAGGAAACAAGGCTTTTTCACAATGTTTTACACCACAAATTTGTAGCGTAGCTACCAGGTTTGGACTGAATAATTCAGATGGCCAATCGGTTATCAGAGTTTTCTAAATTTCTCTGCAGCTAGTAACTGTCTGATAGCCCTATCCCCCTAAGGCAGGGGTAGGCAACCTTGGCTCTTTTATGACTCATGGAGTCATGGCTGGCTCAGGAATTCTGGGAGTTGAAGTCCACGAGTCATAAAAGAGTCAAGGTTGCCTACCCCTGCCCTAAGGAATCAAGGGGTTCAAAGATACTGTATATTTAAATAAGCAATTGATTTTTGGTTGCCATAAGGAAAGAAAGGTAAAATCATGTAGGAGCACATTATAACTGATATCAAAGGACAGAAACTATCCACTACATCAAACTGCAAAAGGAGACTCAGGTGCTCTGCAGATATGTTGTAATTCATATAACAAGTAGCACATTCCTTAGTGGAAAAGCAATGTAAAACGACAAGCTGAGAATAGCTACGGCAGATTGCAGCTGCAGTGAGGATCAAAACTGTACTGACGCAGCAGGATGCAGGGGAGGCTTATTCACGTTTTAAAAGCAGGTTATGACCTTATATTTAGGTCTTCTGAAGTGCATGCATCTCGCATTCGGTTCAACTGAATTCAGTTTCTTTTGAGCATTAAAATGAGCGACCCATGATCCCAAAGTAAAAGGTTTTCAGGAGTTAGGCATTCTACTGGCCTTCACTAACAAGCCAGACTTATTCAAAAATAGCCATTTTAGAATATTAGAATAAGTGATCTCCCTGGGATCACTTAAACTGAAATGCCGGGAGTATAAGATTCCATGGCACAATGCTAGTTGTGTTTCCTTGTCAAAATTCTGGGAGGAAAATCTGGTAACCCTTTCTGTAATGTTTTATTTATTTATTACATTTATATCCTGCTTTTTCTCTAGCAGCTCAAGACATTTTACAGATAGATTTTTCTGTATTTCATCCCCACAAAAACAAATCTTTGGGAGGTTGGTTTAATCAGTCAGAAAGTTTCTGTGACTGAGGGTAAACGTGAACTTAACTATCTCTATCTTGTTCCTTGTCTAATCTCTTAACTACTACACTACACTAGCTTACTACTTATTTACATATGGGGAATACGTTTCTGAAAATGCTGAGACACATTGCAATTGAGTTTTCTCTTAATGAGTAATCCAAGGTCTATGCACTTTTATAATTCAGGATCAGAGCAGAAAACAAGTTAATTTATCAAGTTGTATTAATCAGGATTCAGTCATATTTGTGTCCTAACATTAATCTGAGAGAAAATCAAGTTCATTTATCAAGATATATTATGCAGGATTTAGCTATAGTTTGACATTTTATCTACATGTATCCCTTACTTCGTTTAGCCTGAATTAAAGTGGTTTTCGTAACATATTGCATTATTTCTAATTTTGCAGTTTAAATGTCTCATACACATTCACTGTAGTAAGCCAACATGATAATGCTCATTAGTTTAAATGTGCAAGGCTAAGGAAATATTAACAATGGTAAAATTTCAACCAGGCCAGAAAAGCTCTTTACTTTTTAAGGTCTTTAATTTGAAAACCTCACAAAACAATTGCCAGGGATCCCAACCTCAAGCTCAGATTAAACAGATAGACAATTCTTTATTCAGAAGGAAAAAAACCCCAAACTCTGTGTATAGTTAAAGAGATTAAGCATCTTTTTGGAATGGAAATCTAAAGGTTATTACAAATAGACAAATCATTCCAGAAGTGTTTGTTATTTCCAGTCACCTTAATACAGTATAATTATAACATTGTTTTCAATTAGAAAACTCCTTTTTTTGGATTCATGAAAAAGAAAACTTATTCAAAAAAGAGGTTGGATGCACATTGGTAGTTCCAGTCATGGTTTCTGAGTAACGTTTCCTCTTTCCCCCTTTGAAAAGAAAGTGGGCAAACTGACAGTTTTGAAGACTTAGCCTAATTCCAGATTACATGTTTAAATTGTGATAGCAAACAAGAAGTTTTGATAAACAGAATTAATTCCCTTCAGTTAAACACTGAGAAAATTTGTTCCATATTCACAAATATTGAAAGATAATTGATGCAACGCAGAAGAAAGCAGAGTTGGTATGGGAGTGAAAATTTATGCAATTAATAAATCACCATTGGAAAATAAAATATAGGTTATATGGTTTAATTTTTGAAATAGCAAGAGAAGGCAGTAATAGGACCCTGCGTACAATTATCCCATCCTGGGGGGAATAAAACAACTACAGCCATCTCGTTTTTGTATTACCTTTACTGAAGAAGCAGCATACAACATATCTTCCAGTGCAAAATGGCAACATTGGTTTAAGTATTCCTGACAAAATTCCTGGATCAGTTGCAGATTGTACAAACTGTCAGCCAGTGACATGGTTTCCTTCAAACAGATATCTATATGATGGGGAGAAAAAAAACGATGTGGTTCCACAATTCCCAGTACTGAGAAACCAGAATTCATTTCCAAGATACTATATAGGATGTTACCTGATTTGCAAGAAAACAACCAAGCACAGAGAGCACCAAGGAATCCCCATATAGGGTTTTATTCACAGCAGTGCCAATTCAGTTAGGTAAACTTCTTTAAACTGGTGATTTTGTAAACAATGAAACTATTAGACACGGAAAATAAAACAATGGACCAGTATTTTGTAGAATTATACTTTTGTTTTTGGCTGCCTTCAAGTCAGCTTTTGACTCCTGGTGACTGCCTGGATGAGTTTTCTTGGCAAAGTTTTCAAAATGGTTGGTCCCCTGCTTCTTCTTAGGGCTGAGAGAAAGAGACTGGTTCAAGGCCACCAAACTGACTATGTGCTTAAGGCTCTTTTATGACTTATGGACTTCAACTCCCAGAATTCTTGAGTCAGCATAGCTGACTCAGGAATTCTGGGAGTTGAAGTCCATGAGTCATAAAAGAGCCGAGGTTGCCTACCCCTGGCCTAAGGACTGAACTAAAACTCAGTCTCCTAGTTTCTATCCTGTGTCTTAATCACTGCAACAAACTGGCTCATTACACATTAATCAATATAAATACTTTGGAATGATGGCACCTAATACTAAAACATACTTCACCAATCAAGATGTAACCCCCCCACATGTGCTTCTGCGTTCGCTTTCACTTCCTGTAAATAAATAGTTAAAAACCTGAAAAGGGATACTTTTGTATAGTGTGACCAACCATTAGGGTTAAGTGAGTGGATCTAAAAAGGGATTCTAAACTAATAGCAAAATCTGGTTTGAAGTCAATTTCTCAGGACAGTTAATCATAATCCTTGATTCCTATTAAGCAGTTACCTTTTTGATTGGTTTAATTGTCTCTGTGAAAGCAAGAACAAGTGAGTGGTATGCTTGGGCTGTGCAATCATTCACATGTTAATTTCATTAAATTGTTGACTTTTGACCAGCAAAAACCCACTTAGTAGTAATTATTTACTCCTAAGCAGCCAAACTGCCTCTTTCCCATTTATCTTCTCCATGAGATAGTGAAGAGACAATCAGCTTTATTTCTATAACTGAACTTTGGGTTTGCTTGTTTTTTACTCAGAGCAGATTTTAAACTGCTATTAATATTGTCTATTTTTTTAAAAAAAATACCCTTCATTAATCATGCTTGCAGTTCATTTGTTTCTTTCGTAGTTGAAGAAAAATGTAAAGCTGTGATTCATTCAAAACAGCAATAATCACGCGTAAGGAATGGGAAAGGCGGCGGGGAGGGGAGGAGGAGGGGGGGCTATAAGCCAGAGACCCATGAAAAGTTTGTTAGCATTCTGTTAAGCAATTATTTATTGTCACACCCAAATAAAAGCCAAATGTTTATCTATCTGGTAATTTTAAATGTTAGTTTATTAAACATGCTGCCACAATAAAAATGACTCACAGAAAAAAAATAAGTTAAATTTGTATTTTACTTAAATTAAACTTTCAGTTGAACCACACTGATTTGGTGAGGACAAATTCCCAATTGGTGAGGATATTCCCAATTTCATAAAACCAGAGAGTTCGTAAAGCTGGGAACTTGAACTCAGCCAAACAAGGATAGTACAAATAGTCTGGTTTGCATTAAACCATAATTCTGTTTAATGCCTGAGCCAATGAACCCTGGCTCAATGAACAAATTGGAAAAATAAGCCAAGATTCAGTTAAAATAAAAGGCTAGTCTAATGCCTGATGAACAGGCTTATCGTAATCAAGCAGACTTACCCTCTAATCTAACAATCTCTGGGCAGTAAAAATGGATCAGAGCAGCCAAAGCACATCCATCTCTGCCATCTTTCAGCAAATTTTCCACCAAGGGAACACAAGGCAGCTGCTTAAGTAAAGTCTGTTCCTTCCGGTATCGGGCCTGTCATATAAAAACAAGAAAACCATCCAGAAACATTGGTACAAAGAGTGATGTGATGGAAACTCTTCAGCTAAATATCTACTAACAAACAAACAAATCCAGATTTTTCAAACCAGATCTCATTTTCTTAATTTATGTAGATTTAAACAGTTCCATTCAGAGGCGTGCAGTCTTTCATCAAGTTTCTCCAACATCCACACAATATTTCTAGATCATCAATATTTATACTTAAGGAATTAAGAGATCAGAGCAACAAAAATGAATGATGGCACACAAAACAGAACAGATTATGGTTAGACCCACACACCATGGATTACAAACCATAGCGCTTGCTTCATGCTTTGAACAAAGCCATAAATAAAGCACATTATGGATGAATATAAATGCATGAATCTAATTTCCTTATCTGAGTTCAAGTTCAGCCACACTTTCTAGAACACAAAAGGTCGTTTTTTGTAATAAACTGAATTAGTACCCTGAATGGCCCTATTACAAACTTGATAAAGCTTTGGTGTGTGAAGATTGGAGGAAAATATCTTAATTATGATATTCCAATATTCGTATTTTCTGTCCAGTGAGTTGAAAAGTATAGTGTAGCTTTAGCTCCTTTTCATGTATTTTGCAGCTGATTAATTTCAATCTGAACTAAATAAACTAGTTCCAAGTAATAGCTTATAGATTTAGTTGGTATCAAGGAGCCGCAATTAACCTCACAAATAGGATTTATGCAATACATTAAACCATAATGTGATTTAGCTTTGTCCTAGCATTAACTGTGAGTGCAGCTACTGGGTAAGTCACTGCCTATGGGTTAACATTATGTATTAACTAGTCTACCAGTCAATCAGTCACTCTCAACATAACATGCCACAATTTGTTTCTCTTCTGAAACAACATTAACTGCATTTGTTAAGGCACTTGAAAGAGTCGTAACTAAGAAATGTAAGCCAGGGTTTTTCCTGGCTATACTGTGGTCTATGTTCCCAGTTGAGTCTGTTGTTGACAGCTTTCCACTATTCTTTGGAAGTATGACAATTTGTGCATTTGGGCAAATTTGAGTTTGATAAATCAGGCTCTCTTTGGATTCTGAAAGTTAATACATCAGACATCGTCTCAAACTCACCAGCTGTGTTTTTAATTGTTTCATATTAGGTGTCTTTACTGCTTTTTAATGTATAATTTATGTATGTTTATTCTTCTTGTATTAGCAAACTCTGAGCCTTTTCATATGGGCTGAGATATTTGTAAGCTTCTAAATTCTCCTACAGAAGCCCATGTTCCTTCTTCCAAGGTGTCAGTTCTATTTTTTAAAATGCCCATCACCCTATGACTTCATTTTTTTTTTACTTCAAAGACTTCAGTTTTGTTTACTTCTGTTTACAATGGGGTGAGAAGAAATAATGAATGAATTGTGTAAGAGTCATTTCAAATTACAGAAGGGGAAAAAGAATTCATATAAGCATCGGGGATCCACTCTTGTATATTTATCACAACGACTGAGCATTAATTACATGTGATGTTCAATGTTCTGTTTCCCCCCTCTTTTTTCTAAGGAAAGGATTTGTTGTAGATATACAATATTAATTTTTACAGATATTCTCAAAGTTTGTAGTGCCGCGAAAGGATTTGTTGTAGATATACAATATTAATTTTTACAGATATTCTCAAAGTTTGTAGTGCCACGACTGCCTGAAATAACGAACGTGTGTGACCTTCCTATAAATAATGAAACTGATGGTGATAGACGCAGCCAAACACAGCAATTTTAGCACCAGCTGCCACAGGGGCAAGCTGGGTTCTGGGATCACTTCCTGGCTATGAGCAGGTGGCCCTATCTGGGCATGTTTCTCTCCTTCCTATTAGCTATGAACTACACACAGCCTCGGTTCCTTCCCTTCTGTTATCTCCAGGAAACAAAACTTTGCAGATACTACTGCTCCTCTCTGTCCACCTTCCAACACTCCTAGCTACCTGTCACCACTCTGCAAAAATATATGACTCCTTTAAAGAGGTATTTCATTCCCACTTGTTTCATATTATGTCTTCCAAATAATTTTCAAAACACTCAAAGTGCATGTGTATCTGTATTATATATACCATACATTCTTCTTTGTATATGTCTCATTGTGTATACAGGTATCCCATAAACACATCCCAAACTAACATATCAATAATAATAATAATAATAATAATAATAATAATAATAATAATAATAATAATAATAATAATAATAATAAAGTTGGAAGGGACCTTGGAGGTCATCGAGTCCAACCCCCTGCTTCTGACATGTTAGAACAATTTTTCCTCCTCCCCCCAAAAAATTCCCCACCTTAGTAAAATAAATGTGTTGAATATGTAGATTTCTGCATTTTCAAACCTAAATCACAACTATCTTAGGATTAAAGAAATAAAATGAGCTTAGATCTGCTGCCAAGTTTGTTTGGAAGTGAAAACTTTTGTTGTAGAAAATGATAATTATGTATTTAAAGTATATATAATAATGAGCAATTGTAATCATATGTGTGTGAATATATAAATCTATCTATCTATCTATCTATCTATCTATCTATCTATCTATCTATCTATCTATCTATCGATCTATCTATCGATCTGATAGATAGATAGATAGATAGATAGATAGATAGATAGATAGATAGATAGATAGATAGATAGATAGATAGAGTTAAATGTTAAAACTAAAATGAGCATTCACAATCCTGATGGATACTCATATATCATCCATGCTGTTGCAGATAATGGTTCTCAGCTGTTTGGACCTGCTCCATTATCTGCTCTCCTTTTGTAAGTCATTTACTCCTCACTCCTGAAAATTGTGAAATGGATGATGGGGCCAACACTATTCCAGAATACCTTAAATTATCTCTGCTGTCTCCTTTGGGTGGGGAGGCAGAAACGAAACACATGAATGCACTACCACGACATTGGCAAAGCAACTGATACAAGGTTAAACTACTGAATCAAAGTGAAGCGATATGACAAACTTACAGGAACCAGTTTCCAAAACCACTTGGAAGGAGACTTCAAGGAAAGCAGCAGGGAAAAAAGCAACAGGCAAAGAAGAACATGAACACGACTGTCATTGAGCAATTCCACCGTTACATTTTTCTTTAAGCCATTTTCAGATTCATGAAAAATTAATTGTACTTAATTGTCTTGAAATACACATTCATTTATTACAAATAGGATTGTTAATAGTACCCAGGTGAAAACAATGAGTTACTATTTGTCAGTTCAGCACACTGCAGCAGAAAAACTCTCATTCTGAGATAAATTGACATACACATAAACAGTACCTTTTATCTCAAAAACGTAGTAGCTATTTCTAATCTATTATTCTAATCAAATAAAACAATTTAATCTTTGAATGAGTTACACTGGGGCTTCCAAGTCGGAGTTGTAACCTTGTAACCTTTTTATTCTACATTTTTCCATGAGCAATGGAAGTACACCTTTAAGGCACTTCTGATCATAAAAAACCAATCTTCTTCAATTTTTAAGGATAAGCTCATTCACTCTTAATACGTTATAAAATGAGTAACATAAAACTTGTTATATATTGATGAGTTTTGTACTAGTATTTTGGTAACGAATAAAAGAAGAAGAAATTATATTCTGGGAAAATACAGGGAATGCAGAGCTAAATTATTAGCACAAATAATGGTTTTAAGTGCCCACCCACTGATGCTGGATGTATTCTAAATTCCCATACTAAAAGCCAATTGCAAAATTTTACTTCTTACATAGTTTTTCCTGTGTGACTTTCTTTCTTAGGAAGATTCTCTACCAAGCAATACTATTTTTACTGATTGTTGCTTAAACATTTTCTTTTCTTTCATGAATATTACTGTAATCCATTTTAAATTTACTAATATTTAATTCTGAATCATTGGAAGCTGTTTTAAGAATCTTTGTTGTCAGAGTTATTCTATATTAAAAATAATTTTATTCATAATTTTAAACATTAAAATTATTCTGAGAGTTCTTTTTCCCCAAGGGGACAAAAATTTTAAGAATGTCATCAGTTAATTTATGAACTAGGTATACATCAGATTTTATTTGGCTTATCTCCTGCTTTTCCAGTCATAAACCATTTGGTAGATGATGAAAGAAGTAAGCTTCCTTCGTAACTTTGAGGAATATATTGCTGTCAATATTTTTTTATTTTATTCAGAAAGTTAAAATACAATATAAGTTAAGTTAAAATACAAAAAAAGGATTATATTGTTGTAACAAAGCTGCTTGCTAGCAAGTGTTAACTGCCAGGAAGATATGCTCAAGGCCAACTGCGGATTTTAACCTAAAAACCCTATCTGGTTTAGCACTGAGGCAGAGGTCCTCAACCTTGGCAACTTTAAGACTTGTGGACTTCAACTCCCAGAATTCCTCAGCCAGCTAGCTGAAGAACTCTGGGAGTTGAAGTCCACAAAAGAACTCTGGGAGTTGAAGTCCACAAGTCTTAAAGTTGCCAAGGTTGAGGACCCCTGCACTAAGGTATCTTCATGAGTGCTTTTGCCAATTTGAATTAACCCATCCAGAGAGAAGGTGTTATTTATCCCATGTTACTATAAGATGAGAGAGAGTGAGCCAATAACACATTTCTTTACTATGGTCGGTAGAATGTCTCCCTTTGGATATTACAATAGTCTCTCTTATAATGAGAAAGCAGAGATGATTGGTCTATTCTGGACGGTGGTTTGGTGGTTAAGTGCCAACTGGTAGCTTTGGACTATGAATTATGGGATTGTGGTTCTATTATGAGACTCTCTTTATTGAACAATGATTAATTTATTTTATGATGCTAGAGGTTGCTATAGAAGCTTTGCCATTTTACCATTTACTGTGGATATATTAATGTTTACATTGCTTACCATGAGATGTTATTGGTTTGAACTGTTACGTTCTACCACAAACGTTTTAATAGTTTTAATTTTTTTTATAAATTTCCATGAATCTAAATGGATTTGGCACCATACAAGCTCAATAAGTAAATAATAAAATAAATAAAATGCTATTAAAATACTTCACCAGCATTACTTCACAATCCCTGATACAACTCCATACAATTATTCTTCTGTACTCTAAAAATGGGCCATAATATCTATAGTATCTATCTATCTATCTATCTATCTATCTATCTATCTATCTATCTATCTATCTATCTATCTATCTATCTATCTATCTATCTATCTATCTCATGCATCCATCCATCCATCAATAAAATTTTAAGGTTTAATATGTTACTACATCTCATTAAGCAAAAAAAACCCCCAATCATCAATATTTGCAATGTAGAGGTCATGCTTACTTGAAACTAATGTGCATTTTTGGTAGAATATTTGTCTTTAAAATGCTGCAGAAATAACAGCTCTATAGTTCTTTCTAGGCTAAGGGAGGAGGCAGAAAAACTCAACTCCTTGTGACGATTAAATCTAGAGTGTGATCCTCTAAATATAACACCAGAGAAATAAAGTGGGGGAGGGCAGGGACCTATAAACTGGAGTAATTTAATTCATGGAAGTTCCTACATCTGACTGGCTGTGAGTCATTAATTATAGTCTTCAACGAAGCAAATAATTTACTTCCATTCTTCATAATGAAAACAAACTGGGGGCTGGGGCAGAAAAGGGCCAAAACAGGAGACTAGAGTCATGAGAAGTGACAGGGCAATTATCGAGCTATGTCAACCACTTTAGCAAAACTGATGCAGAATCTAATTGTGACAGTTGCATAGCTAGGAATGGCTCAATTTAGCATGCAGAAAGGAAGGAGAAGAAGTTGAGCTTGCTTAGTCACACACCAAGAAAAATGGAATGAAATGGGAGGGGGAAAAAAATTTCTCTTGAGGCTAAGCAACCACTGGACCTCAATAACAAAGTTTACATTGGAAAATTACATCCATGACTGAGCAAAGGACTGATGCTACGCACATATGGCATATGACTAAAATAACAATCAGTAGAATAAGCCAACCAAGGTGTACTATTATCAAGAAATTATAAGTAACTACAAGATAATAGAAGTTGTTGGTATTTATAATGACCATGGATAGCTCCACATTATGATCATACCTGAATGATCATATCTTGGCTTGTTATGCCATCACACACACATACACACCTGTCTTTAACTGATCTATGTAGTTGGTTTGATTTATCTGATCAGTGAAACTATTATTATCATATTTAGAACAAGCTAGAACAGAGGTCTCCAAACTTTCGGGCACCAGGGATCGGTTCCATGGAGAAAGGTTTTTCCACAGATCGGAGAGTGCGTGGTTTCATGTGTTGTCTGCATCCCATGGATGGGGCTTTGTTTATTTGTGCGGACCAGTTGCTGGCATGCTGCGGCCCAGTACCGGTCCATGGTTTCTAGATCAGCATCTTAACCACTACACCAAACTGGCTAATGATCTCTTAAGGGTAGGCAACCTTGGTTCTTTTATGACTCGTGGACTTCAATTCCTGCTGGCTCAGGAATTCTGGGAGTTGCAGTCCACGAGTCATAAAAGAGCCAAGGTTGCCTACCCCTGTCTTAAAACATATTTTAAAAAGAGAAATCCCTCATTAGTTGCAATTATTCTGAATGTTTCTTAACTAGTGCATTTTGCACACATACCTTTTGACCTCCCGGAGTTTCTGCCCCATGTTGCTCTTTTAGCTTCTGCTCCTGTTCCATTATATCCTTTAAGTGTTCATTTGCCTAAAAGGGCAAAGAAAATTAGACTTAAGTAAACTTTGGTTTCTTGCTGAGATATAAATAAAAGTCTACTTAGTATAATTATTCTACCATGGGTAATTTTGAAACAGTTCAGCCAAGGTTTTAAAAATTGTTTGCAATACAAGTCTCTCTTATTTTCTTGGTGTTCTTCCAGTGTACAAATGAGTCTTAAAAGGCCAAATGAGTTTAATCTTCAAAGCTTTAAAGTAGTTGAGCTTAGCAATACTTAGAAGTGACACTGAAATTGCATAGACACTTTAAGACAGACTTTTCCCTACCTAGTAATTGTTAAGACTTCTACTCCTTCCATTCTTAGCTGGCATTTCCATCAGCTCTGTTATGGATTAGGGGAGATGAAGTCCAACACAACTGGGGTGCGCAAGGCTGAAGATGCTGCCTTTTTAATATTGTCTTTGCACCATAGCAGAACATGCAATATATTTGCACTGGTTTCACACACGTGGAACTTGGAACACTAATGCACTGATTCAAGAAATCAACAAATGCCTATTTAATCATTTATTTCCATTCTTGCTGTTTACATCATCTTAAGGATTTGGTAGAAAATAAATGAATAGCACATATCTCAGCAACTTGAGAACAATGGTGCATTATGATTGCCATACATATCTGCTATGTCTACTTCTATGCAGAAAGAATACAGACTTTGTGAAAATATTGCATCTGATCTGGATTTGACTAGTCATTAAGAATAAGGCTTGATCTACACACAAACTAGGCCACTTGCTCATGGTTTGCTGAGCAAACTATGATCTACCTTGCATGTAAGCAAGCCAATTGCAATTTGTCTCGCTAATTCCTTATCTGTTTTCCTTCTGCCTTTCCTTTTTAAATATCTGAATAGTATCTCAAAGTAGCACCCAAAAAGTAGCACCAAAAAAGAAAGGGCACTGCTTGACTACATTAAGCTATTAGTTATCCTATATACCAGGGGTAGGCAACCTTGGCTCTTTTATGACTTGGGAACTTCAACTCCCAGAATTACTGAGTCAGCATGGTTGGTTCAGGAATTCTGGGTATTGAAGTCCACAACTTATAAAAGAGCCAAGGTTGCTACCCCTGCAATATACCATTAGCTGTTCAAACAGAACATGAGACTGTTTTGTGTATTGAAAGACAAGACTCTTTGCCCTTTGCTACGTTGCCCTCGGAGTGTTTCATACCACTACTGGTAAACTTACAATTAAAAAAAAAAACCTTGACTTTAACCAATATGTTCCCTGACCATAGGTAACCAAATTACCTGACCACCTTGAGAAATCCCAAGACTTCCTCTTCCAAAATTAGTCTGATTTCCTTTTAGATCATATAAAGCTTTTTACCCAATTCTATAGAGTTGTTTTAAAAAACCCAAATCTATAACTCCCTGAGTTTAAACCAGGGGTCTTCAACCTTGGCCCTTTTATGACTTGTGGACTTCAACTCCCAGAATTCCTCAGCCAGTTGAAATCCACAAGTCATAAAAGGGCCAAGTTTGAAGACCCCTGGCTTAAACCTTTGCTCGATGTTAAGCACTACTAATACTGGCTAAGTACTTTAAGGACCTAATTAGCATTAAATGTGAAAACACTTAAAGTGTGAAAAAAAGTCAGTAAACCATCCTTTGCTGATTTAGAAAATATCGGTAACTACCACTGGGGAGGTCAGGCACATCACTCTACAACTGCTGGTGCACACATGCAAACACAACATTTACATCAGGCATGTATGCATAGCCATGCTGGTATCACTGCGGTTTGCTGAAGAGGCCACTGTCAGATACTTTTCATTTTTCACTCGAAGGATATAATACCAATGGTATCCTATTTAAAGCTGTATTTTCCACATTTGTTATTTAGTAAATGTCTTTAATATACACACAAGTCTCTTGTTTTTCTTTCTATTGTGACAGAATATGTAAGTGTTTAGTATCCTAGATAAAGCAGAAAGTCAGACATAACTATAAACCATATTTTTAAAAAGGATTCAGAAACTAAGTTCAAATCATAGCATCACATTAGGGCTTGTTTTAAGAAATAATGACCATGATTTGTTTTCAGGTGAAAATTCAGGAAACATAAAATTGGGCTAAATAAACCCTAGCTAAGTATTTTGTCGTTATATCCTATAGATTATCATGCTTAGCAATTTTGTTAATATCACAATGGCTGAATTAAATAATTTTGCAAATCAGGAAAATGACCAAAAATATTTGTGCAAGCTCTTTCTTTTCCCCTTTATACAGCTTTGCACTTTAGTTGAAAGCTACAGGTTAGCATTCAAATATTGCAAAGAAATATGACCAAAACTTACTGTCTAAGGGCACTGGTGGGATTCAAATATGTGTCATGCCTCCGTCTGAGCCTGACTCTGAGGACGACATGGAGTTCCCTGTTGAGGCCCAGGAGGGGGTGTCTGTGGCTTTGGAGGACTGTGGGGAGGAGCAGGCTGAAGCAGGCCAGGGCCCTTCAAGTTTGGAACAGGGAAGGCAGAGTTCAGGCGAGGAGCAAGGCCCCTCCCCACCAGATCCCAGAGCAAGGAGAGCAGAGAGGAGGAGGGAACAACGGAGGCAGGCTCACTTGCTCGGGAGGAGAGCGTTACGCCCCACTCCACAAGGCACACCTGGGGAGTAGGATTTAAGGAGACGCTGTGGGGCGGGGCATTTGCCGGGAACAAATGTGAACTCTTGTGATAGTGTGCTCTTGTACCTGGACACTTTGTATTTTGGACCAAGTCTGCTTCCTGCTGATTTCTCCTTGCTGTCTGCGGTGTGCAGTTTGCAGTTCACAGGCAAGCTGGGAGTTGAAAGGATTATACGTTTGCTTGTTATCTCTTTTACTTTAAAGAACCGTGTAAACTTCCCTGACTGTTTTATTAAACTTGTGCCAGCATATGTGGGGGCTGTTGGGTGAACGTTGCCAGTGCTTACAAAGACAATTGTTCTGACCAGCTAATTGCTTTGCCTCCGTTCGGGGCCCTGGGTCATCACAATATGTGAACAACCGGTTCTGTGTGGATGCAACTTCCGGAAGTCCGTTCTGGGCCTGGGCACAAAAAACTAGCTACCGGTTCTGCCAAACTGGTGCGAACTGGCTGAATCCCATCACTGTCTAGGGCAAGGGTGTCAAACTCGCAACGTCACGTGACGTGTCATGACGTATCGCGACTTTTTTTCCATTGCCAGCAATGGGGTGGACACAGTTTCGGCATGACGCATCTGGCCCACGGGCCGGCAGTTTGACACCCTTGGTCTAAGGGTATTTAGAAATCCAGCAAACTGCATGCATTAGTTGACATTATTTTTGTTCAGTTAGAAACTGAGAGGAGACTAATAAAAAGCAATCAGGTAACCCTCAAGTAAGTGATAAGCTGCATCCTTTATTTCCTTCCTTTAAAAACACCATGATGGTTAAATGAAAAGCTTACCTTATTTATCCAGAACATGACCGCATCTTCTATGTCATAGGGCAGGTCTGTAGCTTGGAAGAAGGAGGAATACTGCTGTACACATGCAATAACTTTTTCCACACTGATCATTTCTACAGTATATGCCATCATTAAGGTGTCAATCATAGCCAAATGAGCGCTCTGCAAAGATAATAATGTTTTCACTAGCAGGTGGAATACCAACATAGAAGAAGCCAGAAGAATTTATTTCCCAAAGGAATCTGACAAAATAAATGGTACAGAACCCGTTTTAAGTTTTACAAAACATTGGATCAAATGGGAATTAAACACGTATCAGAACAATGTAACAGAATAGGGATACAATATTGTACAGATGTTTACTTCCAAAACAAAGGTTAGATATTGCTTAGATCTCTCTCCTACGCTTGACCTTTTTTAAAAAACTCAACTACTCGTGTGTCCAGTTATCCATTTTATAATCTTGGAATTATTTGCTTATTTATCTAAAAGATGCACATTAAGCTTAAATGACCCAACTTTTAGTAGCTCATGCCAGCAGCAAAACCAAACACACTGAAAACAAAAACTTGACACCACAACCCTTCTTTTTTTGATGCAACCAACACGACTATCTTCAGGCCCAATTGTATCTTACCCCAGCACTTCCCAAAGACTGAGAAAGTGGCGGCTTGCNCTTATTTATCTAAAAGATGCACATTAAGCTTAAATGACCCAACTTTTAGTAGCTCATGCCAGCAGCAAAACCAAACACACTGAAAACAAAAACTTGACACCACAACCCTTCTTTTTTTGATGCAACCAACACGACTATCTTCAGGCCCAATTGTATCTTACCCCAGCACTTCCCAAAGACTGAGAAAGTGGCGGCTTGCTAGAACTCAGGGAAGAGTGCTCCACAGGGCAGAGGTTGCCACAGAAAAAGGATTATTTCTGACACCCCACTAGATGGCAGTATTTCAGAGAAGGAACATGGAATGTGCCCCCTCTATCCAATATGGCGGAATGGACAGATACTCTCAGGGAGGTCCCACAACTAACCTGGTCCAATGCCATGAAGGGTTTTCAAGATGATGACCAGCATACTGAATTGCACTCAGAAAAAAACCTGAGAATCAGTGCACACATTTTTCCTATCAGGATCCATGTTAGTCCTAGAACAATGTATCTATATTTTAGAATAAGGCTAAAGACTTCTAGTGGTTGAAGAAGGAAGAGATAAATAAATATTGGTAAAAACCACCGTCCTCATTCTATGGGAGTACTGAGTTTACAGAGCAGAAGTCTATGAGAAACCAAGTGATTTGTATATTTTCTTTTATTTCTAACAACATGCTTGGATCTTGCCCATTATGCATCAAATAAAAAAAAAAGGGGAGACAAGCCATTTAGAAAACAATGCCCAAGTAAGGCAAACTTTTTTCCAATTTAAAAAATGAGAAGGTGCTACTTCTATTGCCCTTCTAATTCTTGTACTGGAATTCCAATATTTGCTCATACATTTCTACCATGAACATCTCTTCAGGTCAGACTGTTAACAAGGGATGAATTGATGCCAGTGTTTCCATGGGGTGGAAATTTGCTTTTATACACCATAAACCTTATTTGGGGATACGGCAATATCAGATGGAACTCAGCAATTTCTATTTTTCCTTTCTCAAGAAAGAAAAGGAAAATATAGCAGCATCTACTTAGCCTTTTTCTGCTCTACTATTAGATTGCTGGAAATCAATAGAGAGATATTGTGAAATGCTATGGCTAGTGAAATTATATTGCGAATGCTGGTTTGTTATCGTAAGAGACAGCTCAAAGTTAGTACATAGCTTTACTCTTTTATGGTCATCCAACTGGTCACTCACTATACGCTATAAAAGTAAAGGTCTTTTTTTCCGGCATTCTTTGAAAATGTGCAAAATTGATTCTGAGATGAATTCCATTGTAATATTTCTTTCCTCTCTTTTCTTTTTTCACTTACTCATTCTGTGTGTATGTGGGTGTGTCAAAATGTATTTGCAGCATAACATAGTTTGTGGATAAAGACATGAAATTAGCGTGCTCAAATGCCCAATAATACGTTAGTCACATCCAAGCCAGAAAATGCGTACTTGTTCCTTCATGTGTTTTCATGCAAGGCTGCCATGGATGGGTCCTATTCTGCAATTCAAAACCAGAAACATTTGCACCCTTCACTGCTATCTGTAGAATCCCAAGAAGACTAAACAAAAAAAACACAAAAAACAGCTCTTAGATGCCCATGTCTAACATATGCCAAAGGAATGTCTGAGACAATTATTCAACAGTGACGGTCTTCCTTTCACCTTGGAAGCTATCTCCATGGAAACTAAGCCACTTTAAATACAACATTACTCATAGTAACCACAGTTTTTGTAATGTCAGAGGAAACTATAGCGATTCTTCATTTTTTGCTGCAGCATGAATTTTCCTGAATAATTTAATCAGTGACTAATACTAAGCTTAACGTAATTAAGGGAGAGTTTTATTAAAAGGAAAGTGGATTTTCTGCTGAAAGGATAAGAATTAAATGTCACTATCAAAAGCCACCATTGCTTTTTATTTGAGATGAGATAATCTATAATAACGTTCTGATCTAGAAGCACACAAAAATAAATGGGATAAAAACTTCACCCCCTCCATCCAAAATTTAAAAGATATGAATTTGCAGTATCCAGAAAGTTATCTGGTTATATCCCATACAATTTCTGAATTTTTGGGTAATTGCAAAGGTCATGTCTGCAAAATTAAAGTTCATGACCCAGATCTAAAGTGCTTGCCAGCTGAATTCTTAAGTCCATTTAAGACTTTAAACTTTAACTACAGAAATAGCTTAGGGCTTTCTGAAGACCATGTATCATTAAAGCTACAATATCTGGGCTGTAAAAATCTGAATAATGACTAGAAAGCTGCATTCTAGGGGTCATTTGGATTTTTCTAGCCTAATTAGTATAACCCTTTCTCTTATGTTTTGGACAAAAACACTTCATAATTATTAGAGACCAAACTATGCAATTACAGGTAGTTTTCGACTTACAATAGTTCATTCAGTGACTGTTCAAAGTTACAACGGCACTGGAAAAAGTGACTAATGACCGTTTTTCACACTTACAACCGTTGCAGCATCCCCATGGTCGCATGATCAAAATTCGGATGCTTAGCAATTGACTCATATTTATGAAGGTTGCAGTATCCTGGGGTTGTGTGATCACCTTTTATGAAATTCTGGCAAACAAAGTCAATGAGGAAGCCAGATTTACTTAACAACTGCAGTGATTCACTTAACAACTATAGCTAGAAAGGTAATAAAATGGGGCAAAATTCACTAAACAACTGTCTCGCTTAGCAACAGAAATTTTGTGGTCATAAGTCATAAGTCAAGGACTACCTATATCAAAATATTTGTGGCCAACTCTTACGTTAAAGTCTATAATTTTATGAAGTTTATTTTCTTTAATTCAATTTATCAAATGACAAGATATTAAAACATTTTGGAGTCCCTGATTCATTCCCTTAGAGTACAATGCTATGTTTGTCTCCTAGAAATAATTCCCACTGAATTTAGTGGGAGAAGGAGGTGTACAATAGGACTTCAGACAAAGCAATTCTAAGTGCATTTTGTTATATAAACCCTGACCCCCACCTGAGCCTACAAGACAAGTTTCACTGACAAAACGTAATATTAAATTTACTTAAAATTGCTATTTTAAAATGTCAGCCACAAAGATAAGAATAGAGTCAATAAATATGGCCTTATTGTTATTTAGGCATTTAGAAATATTTTAAGTTTACAATAAAGGGTGTTTATGTGACTAAGGACAACATATTTAGCTTTGTTCATCTATTGAAGGGATAAAAATAGTAACTACAGTAGACAGCTTTTTATATAGAGTTCAAGCTTGTTTCTTACTTCTCTCTAAAACTTGACTGGTAAGGAACATGATGATAAAGTGAAGTTATACATGTAGAATTGCATTAAATACATGAAATGAGGATCCACGTGAAAGTAATCTGTTTTGATCAAGAGATTTATCATCACCTACATATCATTAATGTTTATTTTTTATGTTCACGTTGGCCTTGTTTGATTAAGGTTCGTATTTATAAAATATCCTTTGAAAAGATAAGATGTTAGAGTCTAGTCACAGATGTTCTGAAGTCAAGGAACAGTCTTCAGTAAACTTCCTCCACAGAATCAATACAAATTACATGCCATAGGATGAAACCTACGCGTTCCACCTTTAAACACTACATAGGTATGTCACTACACAGGTGTATAACTGCAGTTACGAGTTCAAGACTTTATTGATTAACACCAGCTTAGTATACAGGCAGAGAATTATTTTGAATAGCTGTAGGCTATACATAGAACATAGAAGCAGAGGGCTGAAAAGGAACTCGGAGGTCTTCTGGTCCAACCCCCTGATCCACAGGAGCCTTACATTATCCCAGTCAAATAGTAGTCCAGTCTATTTTTGAAAACGTCCAGTGATGGAGCACCCACAACTTTGGGATGCAAGTTATTCTATTGATTAATTGTTCTCACTGTCAGAAAAATTCTCCTTACTTCTAGGTTGAATCTCTCTTTAACAGGCTTTCACCCATTACTTCTCGTCTTGCCCTCAGGTACTTTGAAGAATAAGTCAATCACCTCTTCTCCCCTTTCAAGTTCTGAAAAACACTTACGTCACCCCTAATCCTTCCCTTCAATAGGCTAGACCAGTGATGGCGAACCTTTTAGAGACTGAGTGCCCAAACTGCAACCCAAACCCCACTTATGTACCGTTGGGTGCCAGGTGGGCATGGCCCATTGGGTGGGTGTGGCCCATTGGGTGGGTGTGGCTGCGGTAGTAACGGCAGACTGGGTAGGACTAAAAAGTTCGATCAACCAATTCCAACTTTGCGAGATCTTTTTTTTCCCTGCGAGAAGTTGAAATTGATTGATTGATTGAAACTTTTTTTTTTTTGCACACGGTGGCGGAGGCCTAAAGCGAAAAGATTTTATAAAACCCAGCTGAAGGCCTAGCACTGGGACGGTGGCGCGTGTGCCCACAGAGAGGGCTCTGCATGCCACCTGTGGCACGTGTGCCCTAGTTTCGCCACCACAGGGCTAGACATACCTAGTTCCCTCAACCGTTCATCCTATGGTT